AAGGTTTTGTCATCATCATTTGCTGTTATATTAAAGTTTTTCTTCATTACCCATTCAAGCCGTCTCCAGCCATTATTAGTCTCAAAGTGGGTTCCTCGTCATCGAATTTAAGGTTCTGAAGTTATTTCTACGGTTAAAGGTCTGGCAGCCTGGTTACCAGTTTTTTTTTCCACAAATTAACTCTGATATATATGTACAGTGTAATCTATCAGTTCAAAATTAGGGACGTCTAGCGCAGATTGTCTCCGAGTACTTTTGCGCGAAATTCAACAAAACAAACAATCGACAAATATAATCCTTTATTCTTTAGTAAGACACTGTGTTTAGTTTGTGAAAATGGTTTCATATTTTATAGCATTAACTCTAACGAATAGCTTTGAAGGATATCATGATGGGTCTTTAATTTTCAAATGCTGCAAATATGGCAAGTCAAGATAAGTACCATATTATGATCTCAATAGTTTTATTCACTGCCTTTTGTTTTCCTACTGCCACATAGTGTGTTGTTCTAGTGCGTGCTTAACATGCATGTGTTATCTTTAATCTGTAGACTGAAAATTATAACCTGAGTTTATTTATCGAGACATTAAAACTAAAGTCATGTAGTAAGTTTAATCCTATTTTTTTATAAATAAAGGTTCCATGTAGCTTTCTTGTTTCAAGCTTTATAAAAAATACCATTGAGAAGCACTTCACATGCTGTTTCTCAATCTATCTGATTGTTTTTTAAAAGCAGAAATCCGTAATCTAATCTTTTGTTTTGATTGTAGTATTCATCCTTTGTTGGAGTCCCTACTTCATATATGACTTGCTTCAAGTCTACGGGTTCATTCCCATCAACCAGACTCTAATCGCTATCTCAACGTTTATTCAGGCGTTAGCTCCACTCAATAGTGCCGCAAACCCTATTATCTACTGCTTCTTCTCCAGCCCTCCCTGTAAGAACTTCAAGAAAGTAAAGGTTTGTAAATTGTTAGAACTTTTTTTGTTCTACTCTGGAAGATAAGAGAACAAACACTTATGTTCAAAAGGGTAGTTTATTGAAGAATAAAGTGATATTTCTTTTTACGTAACTGGTACTTGAGACGTTTCAACCACTTTAAAAATCACTGTTTATTGTAAGATCACGTTTTGTTTAAATACAACAGTAACATAGAAACGCCTTACAAAAAATATGTCGTTAAAGAATAAAAATACTATTATTTGTCTTGTATTTAAGTTATAGGCTTATTTGAAACTTAGCCAATCTTTGATTCCACAGATCTTGAAATAACACCAGCTTGACAGATCATTTCACCTAATGCCATTAAACGCTTTTCTCCAATCATCTCAAACTTTTCGTTAAAAGGAAGAATAAATTAAAACAAATATTTTCCATAAAACTTAAGTCATAGTAAATACCTGGCGGTGTAAATGAAGTAGATAAAAAGAAAGTAGCCATAAAATATTACTAAAAATTTGTCTATGGCTCTGTCTTTTATAGTAGAGGTAACTCAAAGCAATTGTAAATAAATTCTTGATGTTCGCATTTTAAGTATGTGTACTCTGATTTACACAGAATTGTAAACATAGCAAGTTAGGCATAACTTAAGAGTAATAATACCTGAACTGGACAATTGTAATGTAATACGTTTACTACTCATGTCAGGATGTTTGGGTATGTTTTCAGGATTGATAATCTAGAAAGATAAAATTATATATGTCTTGTATAAAAATTCATTATGAGAATTAAAGGTATTTTGAAGTATTAAAATTCAAGTGGCTTTCCAGGAGGTTAAAGTTTAGAAAGTACTATAGGATTATTCTGTTATATACGCAGTATTTAAATTACTCAAACACAACTAATTTTATATCTAAATAAATACACAGGCTTCTTCAATTATCTATCAAACTAAATCACAAAAACAGCGTTATAAATGCCTTCGAAGAAGACAACAAGAACTGTCGAAACGTGTTAGACCATTTACAATAAAAATGGTGTTTTAATTTATGCTTCACAACATTTTTCTTATCATAGTTTGACAAATAAATTTGTTTAAATTAATAATCAACAGATTTTTACATGATAATTATAAGTCTGTTAAAAAATAGCTAAGCAGTGATATAAGAAAAAGAAATAAGACATACATATACCTAAGAATAACACATTCTAGCTATGCTTACATGCTTATATTAATTGCAGTAGAACCACAGAATTATTGTAAAGTGTTTCTTAAAACAAAACAAATAGAATATTTTATGGCAAAACAGATGTAGTTGTTGACTATAAATATCACGGCTTTTCCGATCATCATAAACCTTTACTGTATTCTATATATATGTTTATATCCCTTCTTCATTTTTAGAATATTATCGATAGAATTTGCGTATATCAAATTTGGTAATGTATTTTATTGGGTTAACTACTTTATTTTATTTATTAACGTTTAGCAATTTATTTCTATTATTTTAAACAACATGACTTTTAACATGTTTAATGTAGTTTTTACCTATCTTTACTGTAGAATCTAGTATAGTTTAATGTCGGTAATAGCAACAAGAACTTTATAAATACACAGCTGGCCATAACCACTACTTTTTTCATAGTTTGCATATTTAGCATATCACATTTTCTGTTTGATTTTGTTTAAATATATAATATATCATATTATTATCTTAGTTTTGTTTTTTAAATCGTACTTTCAGAAAAACTCCACCTTAAACGTAGGAAGCAGGAAGGCAGAACATTTGCTGAAGTCTGACACTGCACATTCAACAAGACAACAACTCAAGACTCACACTTAAAAGACGAAACAGAAACAGGAGATGAATGTGACGAAAGTTCGAGAAAAACGAGTTTCTGTAAATCAGCTTTTATTTTGATATGTTTTACTTTTTCGTTAAAAATTACTTTATTACAGTAAATTTTATATTATTTATATTTACTAGATGGATTTTAAAATTAGAGTTAAATATGGTTTCTTGGTTTATATCATTTCTTCATGACAAACTTTAAAATTTGCATGATAAACAGTTTTTGTGGAATGATTTTAAACTTTAACTTTACTTGTTTAAACATGATTAATCCTTGTTATTTTTTGTTAGTTTTGTAACCCTCTTTCTTAACAGAATACACTATGTCTGGTACCATATAAAATTTGAATCACAACAAACATTAATTTTAAAATTAATCGGTTAGTTTTAACCAGACGTTTGATATCTAGCAAAGATGTGTTGAGGACATTTTCAAGATGATGTCCAAATAAACAGTGTCATGATATTTAACCATAAAACTGTTAAAAAAATCTAAAAGTCTATTTATATTCAGTGTACTAGTTATGTTGATGTTCATACACTTTACAAAAAACGATACTTGGATGCTGGAACTAAGTATATGTACATATATGTAAAATGGCATAGTGTATATAATGAAAGTTTATTTCATGGAACATTTCTTAAACTTTGCTGCTGAAGAGTATTTTGCTGGAATATATATATATATATATTACTCTTCATTCTTTAAAGAAAAAATAATTTATGCAAATATTTACCATTATATTTGACTTCTGAATTATACCTGTGATGCCAACTTTGTGTAGTTTTATTAACTATTATGAAGGATAGATCCTATATGGAAAAATATTCACCGCAAAAATAACCTTTTCCTATTTAGAGCACTCATAAAGTTTATATGTACGTAAGGGCTACAATTTATTTTACTCTCTACCAAAAAACAGAACAATTTTAATGTATGCAATGATGTATGTTATATTCCGAAGATATAAACATCTATACCATGTCCGTAGAGAACAAATAGAGTTTTATTCAAAATGTTGTGAAACCAAAAACAGGACAGTTAAGATGTGTTTAAAATTCCCGCAAAATTATTTACTTTTATAACCAGTTTAGTAAAGTTTCAAAACCCGAAGTATCGTAGCTAGATTTGTTTTCACTTTGTTTCAAAATGTGAACACTTTAAGTTACATAGAAAATAATGGTTGTGAAACCAGATATGGTTCAAACCTTGTTAGTTATCTCAAAATAAGATATATTTAGCCTGCTCTATCAAAGAAACATTAATGAATAATAAATACATTTTAAGCATTTAATGCGTGAAGATGGGTTTCTTAAGTTATAGGAATGAATTAATGGCATTTAAAAAATCTCAATAAATACAAAGGTGTCAATCATACAGAGTGATTAAATTACACAGTTGTTTAAAACATTAAAAAATCAATAACAACATAAACTTGTAAAATACAATCTTACGCATTGTAGGGTTAACATCTTTTGATATTAAAAGCTGTCCTATCTTCAGTTGAATACAATCGTTTTTAAAAGTTTTATCAAAATATTTTGGATGAATGATTAAAAGATACTTTCAAACTTCTGGTACTTGCTTGGTGAAAGCGCTACTATATTTTGTACAATGAACAACGAATATCATCGTAACCAAAAATTAAAAGTAACTGTATTTTTCATTGTTGTGGCATACATGTTTAGCGTCTTGTTATCTATGTTTGAGGGAAATAAAATATCCAGTAGTTATGTCTATGGTTAATGTGTTGTGTACGAAAACAACTCTGACTACAAAGGTCACACTTTGTTAATGTTTTTTTTTTCATATCAGTGTTTAATAACTTGTTTAATATTTCTTTTTCATGAATGTTTTGATTTCTTAGCTTGAATATAATGTATACATATTTATTAATGACATATTATTAATAAACTAATTAAGGATGAACATAATTTTAAAATTTTGAGTTGAATATAATCAGTAAATGGTTTTAAATTGTAATTCTAAAAAATTATTAGAGATCATAATTCAGAATCGAAAACCTGTCAATTTTCGAAGTTTGTCAAAATATAGTAAAATATGCGTAAAATACATGGAATATTTATAAATATGCTCTTTGCATTTAAAGGATAATTTAATTCAAATAAATTAATATTGTTCTACCAAAATAAGCTCACCAATTATTAGCATACTTTCAAACTATAATTTGAGTACTTATAACAGAAAGTATAAGGAAAACAATTGAATTGCCAGTAAATAAACCAAATTAAGCCTCCCGCCTAGGAAATTACCTGATTAGATGTTATACATATATTGACTCATCCCAAGATGTCATGTTCTAATGGGAGGGGAGGATAAATTAGAAGAGATATTTTGTCTTCAATAATACATATCGCTTTCTTCTACTTTATTATCAGAATTACAGCATTGCTCTAAGAATGGGTATTTTAATGCTAAAAATCAGCAAATACCTAAATACGAGCTTAGGAAAAATGTATAACTTGATGTATGTAACCTACTTCACTGATATGTAAATTAAATCGAATTAAAAAAAATTAAAGTTTCTTTATTCTTGTTATTGTCAACCTTGTTTTCATGATAATTCGGGTTTTAGAAAAAGTATATAAAGATTGTTTTATTCAAAATCGACTCTAAAACAATAGTTTTTAATAAACGTAAGCAAATTATTTACAAATCTTTAAATTGCGTAGATCTGTAATCAATGTATTGAAATTTACTTCGTTATATAAATTTCAAACTTATTTTTAATTTGTCAAATTTCATATACGAAATCTTTGAAAGCACAAGTATCTAATGATTTAACTAGAACATCTTATATATATATATATATTTAGTACAGGCTTAAAGTGATTTTAGTATGGACTAAGGATATATTTGTAATCTTAAAATCTCAAAGATTTCAGGCTAATATCGTTACGTGAGCTCTTGTTGTTGTATACCGTATAATAATAAAACCGAATTTATAGATGAAATGTCGTTTCGGTTTATTTATAAAAAAAATAACAAAGATAAGGTAAATGCTTTAATAAGAAGCATAGCTGTGCTGGTAAGATTGTGAGATTAATAATTTTATTCTTGGAAGCCACATCACAAATATATTTGTAGATGTAATTTGATCAAAAGAAGTTAGAGGGATTAGTCAAGCAATGAACCGTTACTTATTAATTCATATATTGATAAAAATATAATTGTGTTGGGAAAGACTTTGTCTTTGCTATAATAAAGGATTCCATTGTTCATGTATGTAGGCATGCATGCCCACTACGATAATGTTGGGTAAATGGATAATTACAAGTCATATTTAATAATAATATATTATAAATGTTCTCTGTAGCTTTATCAAGTTTTATTAATATGTCAGTAAGATTAGTTTTCACTCAATCAATATCGTTATTCTGTAAAAAACTTTGTTTTTGTTTTATAAAAATTGTTAGTGTCGTACTGTTCTGATCTAATGTTTCAATAAATCATATAAAATATATTAATTAGTGACTTTTTTAATTGCATTGCAATGATATTTGGATTATTTCTAGATGCAAATTCGTACTCGTTATTCAAACAGTGAATTGCGACAGCTTTGACCGAAAACACGATGGTTATAGTGACGTCGCTCCCTGTTCGTATATACTACCGTAGGTTTACTTGTAGTAACGTCATTTGACTCCGTTCATCAGGCTCAACCAAATCATACTCAATAATATTTGAAGTGGAGAGGTTATCACATTTTAATTCTCTTTAAATTTACATTTTTCACTAGTGATATATACTTGTTACGTGTGAGCACCAACTTTCATTATGTATCCTCTTTAACAGACCGCAAATAAACACATTTGTGTTTCAACTATTTTCGTGATACCTAAGAATAAGGATAAAACAAAATAAATTATTAAGATAACGTGGGGATTGAAGATAGATCCTTGAGTGGAAAGGAGTTTAAAGGCAGAGACAAGAAAAATATTACGCCCAAACTGTAATGTTAAAACTGATGACGAACACGAAACCTATATTATGTGGCTTGAAATTAAATTTTCTGAATAAAATGTCTTAACCCTCTCATGTGCGCCTCTCATTTGTTTGTGATTTGGGGTGCTTTTTTGTATTAATAACGTTAGCAAAATATCCTTTTTCGTATGGGTACTATATATATAATTAAAACATGTCTCTGGTGGTATTATCGCATTTCTTGTTATGAGGAGAAATCGCAAAAGTACAACGCATCTTATATACAGATCTTCTTTTGTAATGGGCATAGCAGTGTACATTATTATAATTAAAAATAATTATATCCATTATGTAATTTACCTGGACTTTAAACCTTATCATCCGGAAGCTCCATCATGTTTGAACACCAACTAGTATGCTGCAATAAAGAACAATGTGCCATTAATTCTTTAAAACAATAAAATATTTTTTGTAAGATTTAACCATTGACTTAGATAAACTTGAATAATTTTTTCCTTGTTGTTTTCGTTTTTAATATTCGGCTCTAAGAAAACTTCTAAGTCATGTGAGACATTTTATTACACATGTGAAACCATCACACCTGTCTTGTATCTTTGAAATGTATAAATTTTGGAAAAGCTTACAAATTAATACACATCTTTTGGACATTTTAGACTTTTTATCTTATATCTAAGGTTAGCACATTTTTGTTATTTCAAACTAGAATACATCATAGGCTAAACATAAAACAATTTTTATTCGAGCATTAACCTTACTTTTTTAGTCCAAGTGAAAATGACTTTATACACTTGCGGTCAACTTTAAACGAAATCTATCACAACTTATTAAAATGTTTATAAAAAGGTTTAATATTCGAAAAAAATTACTTTGATTCCGTATCTTTATAGGGGGGGGGGCAAAGACAGATTAGAGATTAAAATAGAGCGAAATCGTCAGATATCTGTTTTCATATACATTTAAAGAAGTTAATATAATGTACTAAGTTATAAGAAAAGTTAATTATATTATATTATTTTGTAAGCCCAATTTTACTGGAAACTTGATTAATAGCGTAAGCCGATTAGACTGTTTTAATTTGAAATACTGAGTCAAGTTGTTCACATCTATAACCATTGGTTAGTTTAACATGGGTTGTTAATTTGTTTGATAATGTGTGATTACATCGGGATAATACAATAGACCAAGTATTATCAATAATTTTCTATTATATAGCCTTATAATTTCTCACGTCTGATTCTACTTCTATTTACAGTCAATAATGCAAATTTAAATGAGGCTGTGTTAATCAGAACCGATGACGCCACTCGCATAACAAAGTAGCACGGCGTATATTTTACACTGATGTAACAACTACTAATTTTCAATTTCAATATCTATTGACAGTGAGTATCGCAGTCTTACCTACAATGTAAACTGTATGTTCAAGCGAAATTAATCCTGTTAACAAAATTCATCCTTAATAGAAAGATCTACGATGAAATGTTTTTACCTCATGACATAAGTCATTTATAAAGTTTATTATGAACACTATGTTGTCACTTTCATAAATTCTTTCAGAGTTATTGGAATCTGAATACAAAATTAAAATTGTTTTGTAACATTATAGTTCTTGTTTCTCAAATCGCTCAGGAAAAGTCACATTTGAATACGTTTTTGTATAACCTGCCTTTAATTTCATGATGTAATACACAAATAAGCGACAAAAAAAAAGCATAACAATAAAGGTACGACAAAGGCTTGTGTGTTACTTAAAGTGTTTCAGTAAGATATAAGGCGTAGTTCTGATGTCTCTAACTTAATTATTCATAAACTTATTTTATTGTATAAATTTCTAATAATACCACAAAATCAATACAACACGTAAAGTTTGATGTTTTGTGAACAAACAGTTGAATGAAAAGAAAAGCAAGAAAGTGACCACTAGATATTCGTTGTGATGGACTGTCTTTAATAGTTATATTAATATGGAAGTACATTATGCTAATATAATACTAAATTGGCAAACAAAGATTTATAAGCGTAATAAGGGGGTATATTTTTGAAGGAACATACTACATGTTTCAATATAACATTCTTCAAATTATACCCCAAGGACATAGACCAATGTTCTGCCAAAATATGTAGTATGTTCCCCCAAAAATGAGTCACTTCATTATGCTAATAAATCGTTCTTTGCCAGTTTATTATTTTAAGAGTTATAGCTCACATGTACACAATAGATATACATTATGTATTTTTGTGTAACAAATCAAACCCTTTTGCATATACATTCAGGTTACTTATGAATAATATATAATCTAGTTCTAGATCAGATAATCAATTAATAGAAAGTTCTTTGCAACATGTGATTTTGGTATTTAATATCAGCATATACGATTCTGAAGACTATAAAGGTAATTTAAACACAGTAATAAATTTGTAAAACTTACTGTTAAACTGTGTTCAAAACAAGAGATAAAAGTTAAGTTTCCCGACGTTGTTTTTTACTTTGTTCCTTACAGTTTTCAATTTCTAAGTTAATCAATCTGAGAAAAACATATACTTTTGATACATAGAAGTCAACCAAAATTCGCTTCTTGTAACATCTCAAAGCTTTGAAATGTTGGAAGTCAAACTTAATAAAACATTTAGCAAACCTGAATTTGCCTAACATTTTGTCTGAAAGAAGATGCGAACTTTTTGTAGACTAAATGCAGTTTCAAAGAGCCATACTTTTCTTTTAAATTTTTGATGCTTTTCTACTTACCGAACCTAATTTCTAGCTTTTATCTCATTTGTAAATGAAACGTCTCTTATTTAGAATACCTAATTTTGAACAACGCCTAATGAGAAAGTTGGTGTGCCAACTGATTTATCTACACTGAGTTCCGATTCTCAGAAGAGGAAGAACCTTATTTTAGCAGGCATAATTAACAATTAGTCTGTTTTCTGTGTAATAGGATATACTCTGGTTTAGGGGAATATATCTTCAATTAAATCTCCTTTCTGTAATTAAGACTAAGTCTATAAATTAATTCCAGCATAAAAATGTAATGATGATACGTTGTTAACAATTAATATTAAGCTTCGCGTCAAATAAACTTTAGATACCCTGAATATTTATTAAGGAACGGGCATCATGCCCATTTGTACGGTGCATGCACTAGAGAAACTTGATAAAAGATACGGTGTTATTTAGAAAATATTAACAAATAGCATATTATTTAACTACAAGATGGGCAACATTTTACAGGTGCTTGATAAATGCAATAAATATAGCTTTAAGTTATACATAGAATTATACCCCAGCAATTAAACAATTAATTTATAAATGATCATTTGCAGTCTAATTGTCTTTCTGTAACACGATATTTAACGCTCTGCAAAAAAATTGTTTCAGTTTTGGTTTGTTTTGTGATCAGTTTCAATATTTAACGTTTAATCTGAGCACTGTAATTAATGTTTGTACAAAACGTTTCATAAACACACGGACTTGAATTTAACGCCCTCGCAATAACTATAGTATTTGTATAACATAATACACTGATACGCAAAATGTAACAACAAAGGCAAAATTACACTAATTTTATCTACGATTTTTTATACATTATTGGTTATGTTGTGAGAAAGTTTTAAAGTGTTAATGCGATAACACGTTTCACATTATCTAGAACTCTGAAAAGCTCCTCGCCATAATATTAAACAACAGAAAATGGTTATTATAAAGAAGCAAATGTCACTTTAGTTTGGACAAGCATAGCCTAGTGGTTAGCGTGCTCGGATTATGAATCCAAAAGTTCATGGTTGGTGGTCCGTTGTTGCCCAAAAAAAAGAAGCTCCGTATTTTGAAGCCATTGTTGCACTACAAGAGCGATGGGCAAATACTACTATTAAAGTCAGTTAATAGTAGTCGAAGAGTTGGCGATGATTACATTTAACTGTCTGTCTTCCTTTTAGTCTATCAGCTCAAAATCATGGACAGCTATGTACAGGTAGCTCTTATTTGGCTTTGAGCAACCTCTCTCCTTCCAACAAAAAATTATTTGATGAAAATAACCTAGATAAAACTTTTTTTAAAACAAACAACATGAGCACTATAAAAATTATTCTTTTTTTTTAATTAGGGAAGAAAACGATGTTATTAAGTTAGGTGTAAGAAAAATCGGTTGGGGACTGAGTGAGCTGATAAAGCGGCCGGCTTTTGGTCAGTCTCTAAGAGTTTACAGCAATGTAAATAATTAGAAAATTATCGGAGTGAGCGGCCGCCTTTCTTGTTTAATCGATGCAGAGAAGACAAGACCCGTATGATAATGAATTGGTAAACAACGGCTTATATGGCCCCTATGATTATGAAACATTATAATCCGATCTGTAGGAAACAAGGGTGCAAGGTCAAATAGAAGTAAAGAGACCTGCAACGAATGAATTAACAGAGGACAGCGTATTTTAGACGTGCTTCAATATACTTCTACAGATATGGAAGAAACGGGA